GATACCAGAGAACATTATCTCTTCGTAGTCCGATCATTTGGCGTAGGATCGTTTTCCTCGATCCTTTCCCAGTTTCAGGAGGATGGGAGAAATAAAGAAAATAAAGTGCTTGGCTGCAAAGACGGCATTTAGCTCGGAGAATAACAAACCTGTGACGGTGCCTGGGTAGACTATAATTGGCTCGCCTGTAGAGAGTTCCCGTAAAAACGTTGAAATAGCGAAGGATTACAAGCTTATGAATTGCTCGCCCGTAGAAAGTTTTCGCAAAAACGTTAAAATGGCGAAAAGTAGTGGTAGCCTCGTCCGTCCACAACGAAAACGCGAAGGTCAGAAAATTTCAACGATTGATTCAAGTGTTTCAAATTGGTCACGTTTCGCTGACAAGTGCTGACACTTAATGCCGTGATTCCTATTGTTTAGCTCGAGTTTTCCAAAATCTGCCTGCCCCACCCAAGCAATACGGCGTCTTTGATGTTTTTCGCGATTTTCAAAGTTTTTTCCAACTTGAAAACTTGGGGTCGCACTTGGCAATGTGTCCCGATAACAGATTTTTACCGCAAGGTAAACAAATTCTTCCAGAAATTTGCCAAGTACGACCCATGCCAAAAAAGGTATCTTGGAAGAATATCAATTCCTGGCAGAACTGCCAGACAAGAAATGCGTAGTTTTTAAGTCTGATATTTTTTTACTTGACTAAAACATTCAAAAAGCTGCAAAAGTTATTTTAAATAGTGAAAAAGGAAATTAAAACATTAACGTTTAGATTCTCCACAAGTCAAACTCGCTGAGTCATTCAGTCTGAAAGTGTTCAATTTATACATTTCATTATCAGTAACTAATTGATTCCCACGCGTTATGTTCGGCCTTATCTCACTCTCTTCTACAAGTCTCCCTCTCAGTTTCCTATCAACTAAACATTAGGTCGAGTTACACGCGCAGACCGAGTTGATTAATTTATACGACTCCATGCGGCCAGACTGTTGAGGAGACTTTTAGAGATCACCCGCTAGACTTCAGTTTAACAGAAAATAATAACGTTTGAGTTCCCAGACAAAAAAATCGCTGGGAGCAAACCGTGGAAGCATTCAGTTGGGAACGAATGCTTAAACTGCAGTCCTTGACACCTCCGACATCACCATTTGTTGCTACTTTTAAAGCAACAAATCTAGTTGTTATCACTTTAAATCGAAAGCAAGGGCAGCGTTAACATGTAGTGCAAACAAGCGTAAATCTGTTTTAGCAACTCTCTGGTAGAAGTGTGCAACCTTTATATCGATCTGGCCGGAGTGTTTTTACCTTTGTACATCTCTACTTTTTCCACAGGCAAAATTTCTGAAATATTGCCCATGCAATCCAGGGCCGTGTTGTTCGAAGCTGAGTTAAGATAACCCAGGGTTAGTGCGAAATTTGAACTCAGATATGAGAGCTTAAAAAGCAAATTCAGTTTAATTCTCTTTGTCTACAATTGGATGATTGGATACTCTAAGATTGAATAGAAAAAACTATCCTAGAGAGTGCTTTTGATAAAAAGAAAAAGAAACCCGGGTTAAAATTTAACCCCGGGTTGGCGCTAACTGGCGTTCGAACAACTGGGCCCAGGGTTTTAAAACCTCGGAAATATGTCATCGTATACGTAAACATAACGGAAAAAAGAAAGAACGGAAATGTAATAACAGAAATGTGACGGGAACATGATCGTTCGTTTCCGGTGCGGAAACATGACGGAAACGTGTCGAGTAGACAACCATGTTCCCGCAGGGCTGAAACGTGACGGATATAAGCAACGCTAGGTTTCCGTCGAGTTTACAAAATACGGAAACACGTCATTTCGTCCTGTGACCGTACATCAGAGGCACCTTTGAAACTATCGCACGCATATTACAACCTTACAACGTACACGTTGCACCAAACTGATATTAACCACATAACCACCACTACTTAGTAATGTCCAAGACCAGCGCACAGACAGTGGGCAGTTTCAAATGCTGCGACTGCCAGACCACTTACATTGGTGAGACCGGCAGAAACTTTAGCACGCGACTGACTGAACACAAACGAGCGGCAAGAAATGGTGATGCCAACAATCACATTGCTGAGTACCATTTACAGACGAAGCATCAAATCGACTGAGACTGCAACATGTATATATTACATATTCTGCAGACTAATATGAACGACTCACTTTAGAAAGCTGGTTTGCTAACTTAGAACAATCGCCCGCGCTGAATCGCAGTCAACAAACAGCACCGTGCAAATGCAAACGACTCATTGACGGACTCAAGCAAAACTAACTACGAGAGAATGACTGTACAACCTAAAATCTGACTATAAACAGTAAACCACAGTTAAACTCTGACAGTAGAAAACGCACCATGAGATTTCGAGTCTTCATACCCGATAACAACGGGGCTTAACTGACTGACATCGCGACTTAATTGACCAATCAGGTCAATACATAACCAGAATCTAATACCATCAACTGACGTGATACAACTCACTTTGACTCTGAAGGTGACTACACAGGTTGTCGAAACGTTAGTCACTGTCAACAACGGTCCTATTCAGGACTTCGTTCACCCGGACTATCACGCTCAACCTACTTATAAAACGACTTCTGGGTTCAACCTTTCACAGTTTCATAAACGCTGAAGTGGAATTGAAATAAGAAAAAGTTAAATTCGCTGTTTTAACTTTGAGTAGGCTTCATTGGCTTAAACTTTGATCGCAATATAGTAATGTATATAAATATTCAGTGTCTTGGGCCGAGCTTTTCTTAACCAGCTTATATCACAGGTAGCCAAAGCTCACTAAGGGAGCCCTGAACAACATTATCCTAATTAATTATGGAGAAATAGGATAATTCTCATGCAAAGTCTTGCAACTGTTGCCTTATGAACAATTAATTAGCTTAGTAGGATAATGTTGTTCAGGGCTCTTATCGTGAGCTTGGGCTACCTATGGTTATATAATCAGAGACACGTTCCATTAAATAATTTCAAACCAAAGTTTGTGGCTTTTTTGTCGCCGCTGATATGGCATTTTCCCCCATTTTTTGTATTTCGTCAGTAGAAAGCTCGCGAAATCTGCTTTTTTCCGCAATTTTGTCCGAAAGAAATTTTGTTTCCTGGCGAAAAATTTTTAGCTTGCCACACTCAGGATAATCGTTTTCCATATAAGGTCAAACTAAGGTATATGAGCTGATAACCGAGATTGAGTGAACCAATCAGAATGCTAGAAAAGCCAATGGAAGTGGTCGCTTACGAGAGAGCTTTTGAAATAATATTTGAGTGAGAACGAAAACGGTTATTTACAAAGTGGTGGCTATGAGGGAGATGACTGTAATAAACTCGATTGCTGGCGGCTACCTCCATGTATTATTGTGTTGCTTTGTCTCTTCATACTCATAGCAGAAATAGTTTCTATTCGGCTGAGCGTAGCGATATAGAATAGAATGTATCATTAATTTTTAAAATAAACAACTGTGCAATAAGCATAATGTTGCTTAAATCCGCAGTGAATTTTTCTGCTACATAACTTTAATTGTTCGATTATGTACAATAAAACACGATTAAAAACACCAGCCTCTTCCAGCTAAGTAACGCTTGAGAGAACGATGTTTCTTTTGCAAAGTTTCCCACTTCTAACAATAAAGCTTGTTTGATGTTAGACACGGATGGATGGTATGGTAAATTAAGGCATATTTCGTCATAAAGGGCAAGAAAAGGAAGGTCCGAAAACCGGATGTTACTTGGGTGGCCGTTATGAAATTCCCGGACACCCAACCCCCTCTCGTCGGAGATGACCGAGGCATTCACTTTTTTTGAAAGTGAGAGCAAGTGAATTCTCTACTTACAGGGGCCAAAGTGAATGGTGAACCGGCTCCCCCACCCCCATGTGTACACGGTACTCCCTTTCATCTTGCTATCGTAACAAGGGATGGCAAATAATTATGATGAAAGAAAACAGAAAAAGATCGTCGAAAGTTGAACATACAAACAAGAATGTCCTGTAGTTTAACGGTAACGTTGACGCTAAGCGCAGTCAAACTTTTTATTCGTAGTAACGTTTGACTCATATCTAGCGGCGGACACTGAATTTAATTTTCGAGCGGAAGAACAGACCTTTCAGATCCAAGTTTAAGTGGACAATTTCATACAAATCAATGCCGATACTTTGTCAACCCAAGCCTTAAGCAGGTGCCTTTGTTAAGAGGAATGCGAGAACAGGTCTTTTAAACATGGACTTACGCCTAAGCTTATAGTGTCATAAAGCATGCAATTACATTAATTGGACCCATCATAACTCTTGTATGCCCCTAACATTAAAAACAGTACAACAATAGTCGCGCAGGGTAATGTGCAGTCTTTGCTAACATGGTAACAAAACAGAAGATAAGGGTTTTAAAATTTTTTAAGTGTTATTTCTATATCTATTTCTAAAAAGCCAGCAGCAAAACAACTGGACAGTGGTCACTTCCTTTAACACGCTGACGGATCAGACTATCGGATAGTTTAGGTACCAGTCTCTCGGACACCACAAAGTAATCAAGACGCCTGCAATAAAAAGTTATCATATTATTAACCAAAATTCTCGAGTTTACGCTAAAGGCAGCCCTGCAGGGATGCTTACCATTTAAACAAACCACCCGGGTGGAAATCTTGTGCATAAACATTAAACAAGAAAATTTGACATGGTGGGAGAACGACCCGCTACAATCCAAATCAGCTGAACAATCTAAAATGAGTGGAATGGCACGAACCATTTGATTTTCCAACCGGAATTTTCGGGTTTTCACTGTAAATGGTAAGTACCAGAGCAGATCACAGTGATAATAGAGTATTGATAGAGAATGATACTTTCGTATTAAAGTGTCACTCAGCCTCAAGTTGAGTAACTGAGAGTTTGATCAAGCGGTGTCTTTCGCCACTGGTATGGAAAACAGTTTGACCCAATAAGAGACCGCAAACGAAGTTTCCCTCCTGTGAGAATGATCGTACGTCCCATCAAAATTTGTGTACGATGCCTTTTTCTCTGCAATATAAGCGATTTTCGTGTGACCTTGAAAACTTCGGTAAGTGATCGTTATTTGTTTTATCAGCCAATGGATGAAAAGATCAAAACATGGACTCCTGGTTTTCCCGCCAAAGAAAACCCTAATATGTAAAAGACATTGTTCGATTAGCCAATCGAGTTGTAGTGTAACCGTCAAAGCTAAGGATCGATTGATTTCTAGAAAGTTCTTCGAGCATGAAGTTTTTACACCCGGGGGTTCGCTTAACCAACCAAAAGCCACGCGCGTTTGTATCCGTTAGACAAACCAATCAAATCGATCTATTTCCGTTCGTTTGTTGTTTCTGTTTGTTCGCGCGTTTTCATTTTAAGGTAATACGAAAGTCGCTCTATTCCCATATTTTTGTGTTTGTACTACCCTTGCTTCAGTCTTTCAACATGGTATTAGACAAGATAGAATAAGCTAGATGGTTCTCTCTTGGGTATCGGGTCGTTTTGCCCAAAGGTCAATTCGCCAGATGGCAATTCGCCCAGACTACGTCGATTCGCCCGATTTGTATTTGTCGTTCTTTAAGCCTAACAAAAAGGAACAAGCATGGAAAGACAGTGACTGCACATGTGGAATCCAAAGTTAACTAAAATAACAACTCGGCGAAGTAGGTTTACCATGTTGTAGAGTGTTGTAATGTTATCGGACGAATCGATTTAAGACCGCAGTTCCTCTCTTGTATTAGATTAATGCCGAGCGAGTACCGTACTCGGGCACAGTACCCGGGCATCAAGTGCGAAGTTTAGTAGTGCAGCGATGGCAACCGAATGAACCGAAAGGCGCCTTGTGATGCGAAAGTACTGTACAGTACCGCAAATGCTCCCCAAAATGACCTAAAATGATCCTCGACCGTAAATGATCCCCAGCTTGGACCGCAAACGACAAATAAGAATTATCGTCCGGGTGAACGTAGTCCTGAATAGGAGTGTTGTTGTTGACAGTGACTGACGTTTCGACAACCTGTGCGGTAGTCATCTTCAGAGTCAAAGTGAGTTGTATCACGGTTGATACCATATCCTTTTCATATTTATTCTTTTTTGTTTTACGCGCTGTATAAATTAACCTGTGATCCGGCGTCCTCCTTCCTTTTTTCTTTAGAGGGCGAGAAGAAAAGGTTCCTTTTTTCCCTCGAAGGTTACGTTGTAAACACCCCATTCTTCATCCAATATCCAACTAAGATCCATTCCATTCGTCAATTTTTCACGGGATCATTTGCGGTCCATCTTAGGGATCATTTACGGTCGAGAATCATTTGCTGCCCATTTTGGGGATCATTTGCGGTACTGTACAGTACTGATGTTGTTTTGCTTATTAAATCTATTTCTTTATGACGTTCTCATTGTCCTCACCGCTGGTCAAGCTAAAGTATGGATAAGACACTTCGCAAATAATAACGCGTTATAACTAGCTTACCAGCCAACATTCTTTGCGCGGGCGTTTCTCATATAAGACCAAAATGAATACTCTTTAGGTTTGTCAGGATAAAAGTGACGGAACGAATCAATAAAGCCTTCCTCCAGCAGTTCAGTGAAGCCTTGTCTTTCTTCTTTTGTAAAACCAGCATTTTTTGTGTTGGTCTTTGGGTTTTCTAAGTCTTTAAGAAAGGAGAGGGAGAAAATAAATGTAATATCAGTTATCAGCGGTTTTGACATGGAAAGGGTTCTCCAAAATCTACTGTCTACAGGAGAATTGGTAGAAAGTTTTTTAGGATTACTTGGGTAGAAAATGCAAGCCATTATTGGTTAATGGGGTTAGCATTGGTTTACATCGGCCTAAAACCCCTTGGAAACCTTACGAAGTTTACACAACATAGTATTCCTCATGGCTTCGGTTTCCCCAGTGGTGTGGATGTATAGTGTGGAAGCGATAAGGAATACTAATTTGTGTAAACTTCATAAGGTGTCTAAAAGGTTTTAGGGTGATGGGATCTTATTATGGGAACTTCTTAGTTCGGAAAACATTGAAAAATTGTAACTAACGCTTGTTCGGTCCCAGGAATCGTTGTGTGAAAAGCTTGTTCCCAATCTATCGGTACGGTTATGGGTGGAGACATAAAACCTCGTGTGCACGTATTTTTTAAACAGAAGAATAATTGATTAACAGGATTAACAGCCAGAAACTAACCTATCTCTTTGTGAGCAACATTAAGGTCACCACACAGTATAACAGGTTTGTTTTTGTCCAGATTCTTGAGGTAATCCCTGAAGTCTTTATCCCAACCCTGTCTGTAGTCAAGCCTACAAGGCAAGGACGTGTAAAGTGAAAAACGCTTGATAAATTCAATCGAGAACTGATAAGCCTTAGTGGGGACTTTTAAGAGTCGCCAACTAGCGACACACTTTCCAGATCGAATGAGAATTTGGACATGTTAGTTTTTGACGAGAGGGACAACCAGAAGAAAATAGAATAACGTAAACTGTCGCTTATAAACCTTTCGTAGTGGGGTGGGGGCTTAGGAGGGCTTATTATACCGGTCAACGGAGGGGCCTTTATCCGAAAGGGCTTATGACTCATTCTCCAAACTGAAGAAAAAACTTAAAGAATTCGTGGATGGAATTTGACAAAGAATCAGAGTGTTTTTTTACAAGTGATCATTTTGAACTCTCATAACCTTTTCCGTTGATGATGTACTGACATTGTTAGAAGAAAATTCAGTTCCGAGAACTGTTAAACCTGTGGCCCTCTATATGTTCTCAACCAACGTAAGACACTTGTGGTCCACACGTGTCGTACGTTGGCTGTCTTCCTGACGTGGAAGTAATGATCCTTGACCCTTTCTTATTCTTCTTCAAACTGTACTTACCTTGAAAGACCACGCCCTGCATTGGGTACATCTAAAAGAGAATAAAAAGAATACATACGGTAACATTTATTTTCAACAAGTTACCTTTTAAATGTAAAAAAATTAATAATAATAATAAAGATTTTGCTAAACTATGAGGGAATGCTGTGGTAGTGGATGTGGTTGTCATCGTTGACATCACAGCAGTACACTGTACTGTACAGCTATAGTACTGTAGTAATAATACCAGTAGTGATAGCCCTTGTATTAGTAAGCATTTGGCGATGTACATTAGTATAAGACTACTCACATGATGCCACTAAATAAAACTCCTTAAATTCAGCTGTTATAACTCTTCCTTCATTGTCATGCTCTGCAATGCCTGAAAAAAACATGATACGTTTTGACTCTTTGCCACACATAGTGACATTGCTGTTTATTTTTATCTGTAAAAGAGACATTCCTGCAGGGTGAAAGTTGACTGTACAAGCAATTAATTCCCAAGTGACTTCTGATAAACTGCTAGATTCTCCTTTCAATTTTCCTTTATGTGTTTGTCAATCAAAAAGAGAATTAGAGATTGCATCAGGAGACACTTAGTACCTTATTCCTACATAACCATACATTAGATACCATTTATATTATAATGTTAATACTTACATTGTAATTTCCAGGAAAATGCACAAATAACAGAGATTTACAATAAAGTTCATAGCAAATTCAGGTTGACATTTTTCAAATTTAGAAATGAGCAAATAAAAACCGTTGTGTCAGTGTTCAGAGTAAATAAAATATAAATAATATTAAAAAATATTAATCCATGTACATGACAAGTAAAGGAAAACCTTGAGCCTCACAGTGCTACAACATCTAAAACATATCAACTGACCTATACCATAGGATACATTCAATGGCTTTGTCTTGCTGCAGAGTCTAAAATAAAATACATAATCAAAAGAATATCAATTTAATAATTAATGTAATTACTACAATGATTTGGTGTATGTGGTATACTTGGAATAGGCTTTACAACAAAGAGCTAGCCTTCTGAAAGCAAACACAATCATTTTAGCCTGAGCAGAGACTTCCTATGGAAAAAAAAGCAAATAAAAACATCGCCCTAACATAAATTTACGACTGGTAATATAAGGTGAAAATTTAAAAAAACCTTGATTCATATGCACAAGCATAATAATACAGTAATGGAATTTCGAGATATTGTGTTTAGTGAGGCTATAATTTATGCATAAACTGAATACTGGACTTTGTACAAGTAAATTGGCCTCTTGATGGATGTTTTTGGGATGCTTTAACCACTCTAGTCATTCTTTGAACAAATGTCCTGCCTTCTTGAACTGTTTTTGCAATAAATTTGTACGGCTGCATGTACTTTCATGACAACAGTCATTACATAAATTTTTGGTGTTGCATGTCAATGCCCACTCTAATAATGCATTTCTAACTATAAAAAAATAAAAAGAAAAATTATGACAACATACAGTTTGCAGGGCAAGCATGGATAAGCTAACAACCTACATAATTATTTGGAATGCATATTCAAAGAAAGCACATGAGCACTAAAATGCCGTAAAAAAGCTGGTTCTAAAAAGAGGAGAATCAGTTCTGAGTATCCAGCCCCAGATAGGGTGCCACTAATTGAAATCAAGTAACTGAGGGTACAAAGGGTGAAACAAAAACCCTGGCCTTTTCTTGTAAAAGGTAGCAAATTTTTTAAATATGCATTGTACAATAATCCACAATGTCACATGGCTAACCAATCAAACCCAGGAAATTTCAAAATTTTTTTGCACTCCATGTCATTCAGGGTGGCTGAGCAGTTAAAATGCTGGACTTGTAATTCCGAGGCCCCAAGTTCATGTCCTGCCCTGGCCACTACCTAGATTTTGCCAACTGGTTCACCTCCTACCAGTTGGTTGTTTTAATAATGTTATGTTCCATTTACAGTAAATCATTTGTTTCATTATCCCTGAAAAGCCCCATAAGGGGAGATCAAAAGGATAATTAAAGTACTATAATTATCATTATTAATATTATAAAAATTATTATTATTATTCTAAATAAGAATGACTTTAAAGAGATATGTGTTTTGAAATTATTTTCAGACGTTGGACCTGTACAAAAGACTTGCACGTTTGACAAACAAAACAATACTTTTCACTTTAGAAAAATAATGCTTTATTGGATTTACATACTCACCCAACTCCACTGTAACCTTTTGTCTGTGCTTCAGCCCAATAGGTATGATATCCAGGAAATCTGACCTCCTAAAACAGCACAAAATTAAGACTTGTCAGTAACAAAACAGGTCAATAAGAGAAACAAACAAAACAAATACAAGAATTTTATATTACACGGCTTTGGCTAAAAAATAATAAGATAATATTATTGGGGAACATCATCACATTCAGAAAAGGGGGAAACAGAACTGAATCTATAAAAAGCTGCAAGCTTGAGGTAAGAGACAGTACCAAAAAAGGTGGGGTTCTCCAGAAGTTCCAGTGACTGGCAAAAATTGCCACCTGATCATCAAGAAAGCACCCCCTACTCACAGAAAATAATCGTTTTTAAATAGCATAATTCTAAAAACTGTTGGATATGTATTAGTGCAAAACGTTTTTTCCATGAAAACAAATCTGATTGAAAATAATTATTAGTAAAGCAAATATGGCTAATTAAAGATTCCATTCTCATGAGTCAAATTCTTCTCCTGCTCGCTCAAAATGCACTGAAATTCACTTTTAAGCTTTGGTACAAATCCAAGAGTTTCTTTCCCTTACAGCAATGATGACCCATGCTCTAGTGGCACCCAGTGGTCCCTGGTACAGTCAAACATTTGCTCTTGGGAAACTAGAAAATATTTAATCATAAAAAAACATGTGCTATAAGGGCACCCTGGGTTTCACAGGTTGAAAACATTGGGCTCCCTTCAATATTAATATTTTATTATTGTTCATTCAAAATATTTCCACAATTCTGATTGGCTAAAAGCACACGCATAATTCACCATAACCAGTTACTAATGACCAAATTTGGAAGAATTTTGTGTTTAATGAGGAAATGACGTCAAAAATGCAAACCTCTACAGGTTAATGCACCGTTAACCGAGAAGACCTGGGGATGACGTTGAGTTGTTTTTGTTGTGACAACTAAAATGGCGGACACTTCACTCATTTCAAGAGTAAGAACTACAGCCGAAACTAGGCGAAATAATGGCTAAAAACATAGCGAAAACAGCAAGAAGACAACTCAGAGGGCGACATCTGCTATTTGGAGAATATTTATGGAACTGGACAAATCTAAACGTACACTATCGAAGATAAACTTAACATTGATGCAGGTAAGCATGTTTTAGCTACGTTTTTAAACTAGGTATTATTATGAATGAATAATAAAGCAAATAACGAATTCGGCTTTCGTAGGATATGATGAATTAAGCAGATGTCAGAGGGTGTTATTCACCTCGGCCTTTGGCCTCGGTGGATAATACCCTCCTTGATCTGCTTAATTCTTCATATCCTACTCGGCCTCATTCATTAATTGTTAATTAAAGCACAGCCTTGTTATGCAATAATCCCCCCCCCCGCCCCGCCCCCAGGAAGGAAGATATGTAAACAGTGTAATAAACCACATGTGTTAAGTAACAAAAGTAAAATAAACTGTAGATGGAAACCTTGGGAACATCTTTCTCTTGGCATTTAGTCTCTTGAATACAGAATATGTCTGGATCTTCATTTTTCACATATGATGCTGAGCCATTTTTCTGAGGAAAAGAAATTTAGTGTTAGCCTTCAAAACAAAAACATGTTGCAGTACATAAAATTTTGGTCAAAAAAAGAGAACAGCTAAATGTATTTTGTATCAATTTACTTACCAGCCATGCTCTAATACCATTTACATTCCAGCTAGAAATCTTAAAGTTCCATTTTCTAAAAGAAACATGTTACTATTTAGTAAGTAACTTGGCAGCTTGTCCTAACTACAGTGTACGTGAAGATCTGTAGATGTTTTCTTTTAACAAATAAACACTAACAGTCATACTACAGGGTCATACTGATGGTAGCAAGGAAAAAACCTTGGACCAGAATAAGCACCACACCAATATGTTATTGTGTTGCAATATTTTGTTGAACAAAAATAAACCCAATCATCCCTGAACCGCCCGTAACTACCCAGGCGGATCCACATCCCTTCTACCACTTGTAACATTATCAGTTTTAATGGTCAACCAACTTGTGCAGGGTGACGCTCTTTCACCTAATCCTTAGATCCTAGGAGCTTTCCCAAGAACGTTCCCACCAAACTGAAGCCTACTAAATGCCCACCAAAAGAAAAAATATATATTAACCAAGAAAAGAGGATGACGAAGGGAGGAGAGAAACTGAAAAGAAAAAGTCAAGAATGCTGTGTTGATCACTTTTAAACCCGAAAACAATCTCAAAAGTTTGCTTCCTACGCATGCCTGTACTTTGCAAGCTAATATTTTACAACTGGATCAGAAGGCTGAGAAGTGTACGACATGTAAACAGCTTTGTGGTAAGTTTTAGCTCTTTATAGCCAGACAGACTAGAAAACCGCTCAACTAGCTTCAAAAACATATTTTTCGGCAAAATTCCGAGGTCCAAATGAGTTAATTATTGTACAGTCAACAACTGTGGTTTACTTACTTATCTGAAGTAGCACATGAAAAGTCAGTTTCTTCTTCATCCACATTGTCTACATTTGAGTCTTCTGATTCACTATCATCTTTCTTAGATTTCTTAGCTTCAGGTTCATCATCACTAGCTTTGCTTTTCTTGGCTGGACGTTTTCCTTTCCCCTTAACATTCTAAAACACAGTCATTTGCAAGTCATGTAAGTGAGCTTTGGTCAGAATTATGCCAACCCAGATTATTTTTCTGTGTACAGTCAACCTGGGGGGTACTCCCCTATAAAAGTGACAGGGGTGCTCGTGTACCTTTTAGGGGTTTAAATTTGTGAATTGGTACTGCTTAGGGTGCCAAAAACTAAAATGACTGCTGCAAGAGTTGTCTCGGTAAGATTTGTGACAATACTTTCAAAAAGTCTTCGAGAACAAAGTGTCTGCAAGTTATCTTTAAATTACTGTTAAAATTTGCAGTTCCAGTTATATAATTTGTTGTTGTTGATTTGGTATCTCTTAGGGGTTGAAATGAATTTGGGTCACGCCCATAAAACAAGATTCTGGTACCTTTTAGGGGTGTTCTCAACATTTTCTGACGAGCAGCCCCCGTCACTTTTATAGGGGAGTACCCCTCCCCTTCCCCCAAGGGATGGTCAAACCCTGCCAATACAGACAATGAAGGGGCCATAGAAAGCATCCATATAAACATGGTGTCCATATTAAGAGGGTCCTGCAGGGTTGTCATTAAGAGCCGGGGGCCGGGGATTTTCCCCGGCTACCAAGAGAGTGGCCCCCGGCTACTTTTATTGGAAAATAGAAGAAAAATAGAACCAAAAGAAATCCCTAGCTGTTTGATTTCCCCGCCTACTTGTTGTGTTTACCCGGCAACTTGAAATCTTAGTGACAACCCTGGTCCTGTCATCAAAGTCAATAATACACTTTCTATTTAGTCAATACTACAGAAATAGAACAGAACACTAGCATCAACAAACTATTAAAACATCTCTACACATCACCAAGCCATTATATTCTGCAGACTACAGCTGTATGTCCAAGAAAACACTCAAAAGTCTCGACAAAGAGCCCCCATTATAAATTATTGCGTAATCAAAAACTGTTCTCTGCATAACTTGATTTATGTCGAAATAGTCTAAAATTCATCATCATTCAGTCGTCCCCAATTCATCCTATCTGGTGTACTATAGTGCTGGGAACATGGACATGAGGTCAATTGAAAGTTTTTTGACCTTCAAAGAAGAAAGATTTACTACAGCACATAGTGGACAATAAAGTGTCAGTGTATTAGTGAGGTTGACTTTATATGAGAATCTGTTCATTGCGCAAGAAAAAAGTGTCAGTTGTCCACATTAAAAGTTCAATGTCCGTATTGAGCGGTTTGAATTTAGGGAAAATGTAAGGGGCTTTCTTTCCCCAGGGACAAAGAAAACTGTCTGATGAGGTGTCCATAATGAGTGGGGGTCCATAAAGCAGGGTTCGACTGTATTAGTTTAGAACTTAGCCCAATTCCCCCAAAAAATCATTTTTTGATCATACACATGTACTGTTGTTTCTTGGGTGTGTGTGTCTGTTTTTTTTTTCACTTAATTAGTGCATTGTTTCATTACTGGTAAGAACACCTTATGATTACAGCAAATTTTGACAGTCTGCACTTTATGTCTCAATGACATTTTAATAGAGGTCATGAAGCTGGTCTGTTTTGTTCCCCTGGTTTACACTTCTGTGGATTTTTCTGACAGGATTTGATCTTACATGTAGATGCAGTTGAGCACTGATTTTCTTTGACCTCTCTTAAAGCCTTGAGCTTTTTGAGCTTAACTACGGCTAAATAGCTGTTCAATAAAGATTTTAGTTTCTTAGGTTTTCTCTGAAATGCTTGGAACAGAATACCTACATACATGTACGCGTAGTTTTTTTGACCATGCATGTAATAATTTCCTGTTATGTTTTGACAATAGTATACCTGCCAACTTTTTCTGAGATATAAGCGTGAGATTTTTTTCTTGGGATTGAAGACGACACGATCATTTCCGAAGATTCCCGAAGAAGTCCGAAGTCGTCCGAAGAAGTCGGAAGTCTTCCGAAGACTGCCGAAGGCGAAGTCATTGAGAAAACGCTTATCCACAAAATCAGAGATCACGAGGAAGGTATTGTCATTTATTCATTTTACACATGGTTTTCGTTCCTTACATGGGTCTGAGTTAACATATTTTTGGAAATTGTGTCAAGCAAGACGGCAACAACTCACATTTTTCAATCAGGCATGAGAAATTGGCCAGCAAGCGTGAGATCGAAGTTTTCAACCTGCAGGCATGAGAGTTGGCAGGTATACGATAGTTTCAGCTCCAAGTGTTGCTTGCAGGATAGAATAAAAATGATGTGTGGTCGGTGACTTGCAGCAATGCTAAGAAAAATTAGAGACTTTCCGAAGCCAGTCTGCAAAATTAATAAAAATGTTAATTTTTCTTTCAACTAACTCTGCAATTGCTAATTTCTGATGCAAATTAAAAGCCTGTATACCAAATTTCCATACTACAAGAGTTGAGATCTGCCAAAGACACTGCGATCTAGTCAAATAAAAGGAGCAAGGTGAGTGATGGACAATTATGGTGCGAGCATTCACAAGAAAATGAAAGCCGCACTCTGATTGGCTGTATCTTAGGAAAGGAATGTACATCGGTTTGAAGCAGCCAAGTGGGGGCGGGAAGCTTGAGGGACTCTTGCCAGAGCAGTTGCAAAGAAGACTAATAATGCCTCACCTATTTAAAACTAAACAATTATATTTACCATTTTCCAAAGGCAACCAAGCATATCTTAAGGTCATTTCCTTTTTCTCACTAGCAAAATATTAAAGCCATGGCACATGTTTTGTATAGGAGCTTGATCCCCTTCTATCTATCTGAGATTTCTCCGGGTGGCCAAAAAGTGCCATAAAGGCTTAAACAGGCACTAGCATTCCCCACGAAATTTCCAGTTTCATTCAAAAAGATAACTTTTCATTTCAGAACGATATTCTCCAGAAAACCAGGAGATTGGGACTCTTGGGAGTTGGCAGGTCTTTAACCTTGACTGTGATTGCTTGCATTGACAGATTTTACGACAGTACTTGTTTCCCCCAGGGGGAACTTCCATATCAAAGTGACGGGGATTCTCATCGGAAAATTAAAACTAGACCCGTAAGGGAGACCAATCTGGGTGTAGTTGAAGCTTAACCTGACCAGCCCCTAAAGTAGACCATACTAAAACATACATGTACATCACAGCATTTTTGTAAATTTCTTTATGCACAGCCCTAAGTGATAAGAATGGGCAAATATAGTGGCTTTCCATCCCCGAAAAACTATGTAAGACCAAAAACTGCAATTTTACATCCCTAAGCGAGTCGACGAGCATCCCCGTCACTTTTTATGGGATTTCTCCCCGGTTTTTTCCCTACTTAGAAACCACGTGACATCGCTAAAGTGCAAAGATGGCGGTATGCATGGTCGATTTGTGTGCACTAAAGCAAGTGAGCCGTTACTAAGCAGTTGATGTTACATAAAATAACGTTTAGCAGCGTTGCAAACAATTTTGATTAGCACGAGGTTGTTTTCTGTCTATACAATGATCGCTTGGTCCGCGAGATACGTATTTCTGAACGAACAAATGTATGGCGAGAAACATATTGATCGTTACCCACATAGAACTTCGCCTATGGACACGTACAAACACGAGTTTAAGAAATCAGAATCACGTTTAGTACCAGGAAACACCATACCTTTGTCTCTTTGCTCTTTTTTGGTGGCATGGTGATCCAGAGATCTTTGATCGATCGAACCCTTTCCCTTCGATCTTTCCCGCCGGGACGATAAAAGACGTTGTGTATTGGGCACCAATGTGTGGCAGACGTGGCGGGTTGGGGCTGGGCGATGGTTTCGCAAAGATTTTTCCTCGGGGAATTTACCTAGAATTGACCCGGGATGTTTGGCCCCGAGGCTTAGGGAATAAAACAAAAGAAATGAATTGTTCATTACTGAGCCTTGGGATAATTTCTTTTGCTTTATTCCCCCAAGCCTTGGAGCCAAGTGTGAATTTTAATACGTCGAAAGTGGTCTAAGTTTTGCGATGCTAAGAAACAGTGTTCAAAATTCTATCGTCAGGATGCAGGGGCACCCAACGAGAATATAGTTCAAAACCACATAAACATAACATTGTTGAACGTACTTTAGTATTTAAACGTTAGATAAAGGCTTATTTTTATCCCCTAAAAATTTTTCATCTGTTCGGATTTCCTAGCTGAAAGTATAGTGATCCGAAAATTATAGGGATCAAAATATACCTTTTCGAAAATTTCAGCCAGAAAAAAGGCTCCCGAAAATTCTAGGTGACCTTTCTAGGGTAAAAATCCGTTAAAAATGGGCAATTATACGATTGTTTTGAAGTTCGAAAATCCTAGGAGAGGCAGGCAAGCAAGAAATTTTTCAGAAAATGATCCGAAAATTCTAGACCTCAAATCGTCTTCCGAACAGATAATTTTCCGAAAATTGTCGTTGGGTGCCCCTGAGGATGGCTTGAAGTATTATATTTCACGGGCACCCAACGAGAAGATAGTTCAAAAGCACTTAAACATAGCATTGTTAAACGTATTTTAGTATTTAAACGGTACATATATGCATATTTTTATCCCCTAGAAATTTTTCATCTGTTCGGATTTCCTAGCTGAAAGTCTAGTGATCAGAAAATTATAGGGATCAAAACTTACCTTTTCGAAAATTTCAGCCAGAAAAAAGGCTCCCGAAAATCCTAGGTGACCTTTTAAGGGTAAAAATCCGTTAAAAATGGGCAATTATACCATTCTTTAGATGTTCGAAAATCCTAGGAGAGGCAGGCAAGCAAGAAATTTTCAACAAATGGTCCGAAAATTCTAGATCGCAAATCGTCTTCCGAACAGATATTTTCCGAAAATTGTCGTTGGGTGCTCCTGATATTTTAGGGTTAGCTCAGTAGTGAGTACTCAACACTAAACTGCCAACGTGCCAAGTTTTAGTGCTCGAGTAAGGGAGTAGCCTACATTTCATCCATCCACTCGAGTCTGGGGGTGTTTAGTTTTTACATGACACCGGGGCGACTTTCGCGCCGGCGCGAGTTCACTCCGGTTCCCTCCCATGGCTCTATATTTGTTTCTTTATTCAAACTTTCTTAACAACAGAAATCACAAATTAGTACAAAGAACATCGTTGAAAATACAAGGAACCTCAAATTCTAGGAGGAAACCCCAAACTACCTATAAGCCTAAGATATATACAAAAAGATTCAAAATTATATACACAGAAATTCAAAAATGAGCTAAAACATGATTCCACCACAAAATGTTATACTGGCGCGAGTCAGCCCGGTTTTTGTATCGGAGCGAGAATTACACTCCGGTACGAAATTTCGCAACGGTATCATGTAAACGCGAAACGACCACCCGTTTCGGTGTTAAATCGGTCTGCGGGTGTTAACTGCAGGTGGACTAGAACGGGTAGTGTATGCGTAATGTTTGCGATTTTGAATCGCACGTGTATTTTATCAAGATGAACTGTACGTTCAAATAACCGCGATATGAAATAACCCCTTCATCATGTAAACGCGATACGAAATCAGAAAGTCATCCCAGTATGAAAATCGCGCCGGTGCGAGTTTTCTCATGTAAACACCCCCTCAGTCGCATACTCCCGAAAGGAGCTGGTATGGTTAGATCTGCTAACAAGAGCGCAACGAAGAGAGAACACGAGCCGAACAAGGAAATTCCAGCACTTTGCGTATCACTCCCTCGAAATGTCAAACATGAAGAAGGAACTTGCCGAAACTTATCAGAAAAGGATAAAGACATGAAGTCACCTGTGAACAAAGCCGTGAGAAGACCAAAGTTGAAGTGAAGCACCGCAAAATAGGGTTAGAGTGTAGAGCACTGCAGAGCCTGCATACTGGGAATGGGTAGGGACTGCCTTGCCTCCTCTTAATTCAATAGGGTCAATCGTGTATTTCTACGCGAAGAAATTGTCGACTAGGCCCTAGTGCTAGTGCTAGAGAAGCCATTTATTTTCTGAATATAGTCTGATACGCCAATCGCATTACCACGTACAATTAAAGCTGGCCGGAAGAGAAACTACCGTATTATATCAAGCGTTTCACAGTGTACATTAATAAGGTTATATAAAACTTCCATCACTATTCTTTTACAAATTTCTTACTTTTGTGCTGTCTTCGTCGCTTCGTATCTTTATTAAGGAAAATGAGGAATTCAAAAACAAAAGACTGAACATGACAAATTTTGAAAAACACTGTTGAAGTGTCGGCAAGAGAGGATAAAGCTCTATACTCTCTTGGTGTCAATACCTAATAAGAAAGGGAAACTTTTACGCAAAATAAAGATATATCGTACAGAGAGTTATACAGTTACACTGTGTGACAGGCAGAGGAGCTTTTATTATAACTGTTATAATAAAGGGACTAGACAAAAACCTAGTAAAATGAAGATTCGATTGGAGAGTAAATTGTAATTTTATTACTGGTCGTAAATATAGAAGTACTGAATAAAACTTCTTGATTAATTCATATCATTTTACACTTTGTGTTCGGATTAGGGTTAAAATAAAATATGAAATTTCAGTAAGTGATATTTCAGTGCCTTTCCTCAAAAATAAGCAACATTGTTAACTGGAATGACGATTCTCGACCTGGAATAAATTAAAGGTATCTGAAAAATGTAATCTTCTCTATCGAGTTTTAGCGGAACACCCCTAATGAATATCTGATACTCAGGCGATAATAAGGGAACTACCACGTGCATCTTATTTATGAGATACAACGTCATCGGCGTTAACGGTATTTCCCATAAATCCCTACTATACTACTGTCTCATCTATGCTTTTTTTTTCACACACGCGGGCGGAGGGGAAATGTTACAGCAGTCATAACAGATGATTTTGTAAAGTGACTAAATAAACTCTGTGGATAAATAAGAATCACAGAAAAACAAGCTAAAGTTACAAAACATATAGTCTTAAAGAATGAGAGTACAAGACAAATTTACTACCAACAAAACCTATCAGTTATTAGTACATTGAGTCAAGGCTGCAGAATTTGCCATTTTTTGTAGGAGAATGTGCAGTTCAACATAATCGTCCTCTGCTTCCATTATCGAGAGCAAAGGTCATGAACATTTTTTTTGTTTTACGCGTCATGCAACCTTCATTGAAAAAAGACTCACGCCGAGCACATGATGTAGTAGTTGATCCATATTTACTGTGGCTAACTAGCCTCCCACGTAGACGTTCCTCGGATTCGTCACGCGTTCCTGCCCCACGAACACGTTCGTTGAGCAGGATTACGTGACGAGCCAAAAGAACGTCTGCGGGGAGGCTAGTGGCTAACTAGAGCCCCTACGCATGCTATAAAGCGGAGGATTTAACTGTCTGGCTAGATAGGTTGTTTCTTCGTATTTGCTATACACCTGATGAGGTGTGGCTTTTTTTGAAAAGCAAGATCGCCGTACTACGACTTGTTACTTTTTTATACGTTCTTTCACTTTAAAGTTTTTCGTGTAAGTCCTGTCCTTTGGGCAAGTTTATCTAGCAAACGTTTTACAAATGTGCTACTGTCAATATTTAATTGGTACTTTCTAAAAATTCCTGTCAGACAACTAGCATAATGAGAATTATTCTCGCAACTGTTTCCCAGTCCGCTTGCTTTTTTTTCTAAATTTGCAGTATGTATTCAGAGGGTTGGGTTTCCTCTGCTCCGCACTGGTTTTGAAAAGAGAAACAGATGAAAAATGAAAATACTAAATAACTATAAGCTATTATAGGCAATTCCATCAGAAGAAGGTTTGTTCTCAGAAGATTAACTCATCCGTACGTTATTTGCATTACAGGAACGAATTCGTCTCTATTCTTCTAGTAAGTACTCCAAATTACACTCAAACGTGTCGGCGGCTTGTTGACAGGAACGGCTCGTTGTAGCGTAGAAATAATTTAGTATCAGCTCACGAGCCTTAATGGTCTACTTTCCTCGTCCCGGTCCCTCTTGCACAACATGCTGAAACAAATCCAGAAAGATATACACAAATAATGACAAACGACGATGATGAAGCGACCCAGCTGCGATAACACAGCAGTGACTACAAGAAGACAAAACAACGCAGGTACAACACAGAGAATGGTGACTTGTGCAACTTGACAGAAGTTCCACCAAGAACTTAAATGCGCATCCGGGGTCATAGCCAAAGAGAGAAAAGAGGCGAAAAATACGTTTAAAAATGCCAGCAGTGAGAAACAGCAACGAAATAGTTTCCACCGTGTTGGCAAAATTATCGCGAAATGGCCGTGTCGTGGAGTGGTGAAAGAGAAATAAAACACAAAGTAAGTTCATGATGAAAAGACGAGGAAATGGGTCGCTGAAAAAGGCACCTAACAAAATAAGAATCAAACGGCGTCCGATCATAAAACTTTCCCAGCCCAAACATAATTTTCCACCATCTTCTGGTCTCTTGAAAGAGTCATAAAGAACTTTCTCTATAGAACTGACAGTGATCTTGTTTGAGGGTGAGTCATTGTTTGCTACAGCCTTTGTATCCAGCGATTCTGTGTTGTTCGCTTGTTTTCGTCTGGCAATTAAAAAGGTGAACGCCCAGTAAAGCAAAGAGAGGAGGGGAAAACAACAGGTGAACAGCAATTCTTTTCCAGAAAGTTTTCTGCTGTACAACTTGTAACAACCCCAAAACAAGGCAAATACAAAAGGCACAAAAAAATGCGCAGACAAAAGTAATCAAAATGTATTGCCACCACTGAAAGCACTTTACGTCTCCATCGTAGAACAAACGTTTTTCCAAACCAAGGGGAACACATCGTAGCAGGTCAAAGCTGACAGTCGCAAGAGTTGTGTACCCTACCAACATGGTCTGTAATATACCGGCAATATAGGGACCGCTAGATGATATTTGTCGACCTCGAAACCTCTGAACGCTCCTGTGGGTAGCATAAATGATACTTATCATCAGACATGTGCCAAGCACGTGTGATCCAGACAACAAACTCTTAGTTACCATGGTGATGCCAGGCAGGGGACAAATCAGTCCACTAGATGAAAATTTTTGTTGGAAATTGAACAGTCCAACAAGAATATCGACAAATCTAGTTTTAACAATTTGTTGTGACGAACTGGAGACGAGTAGAAGATTTGCTGCCTGATAAAAGTAAAAAATAATCTTTAGGTAACCTTTGTCAAAGTCGTCTGTTTCGTTCCTTGTTTCGAAGGTCTTAAACCAGAGGACTTGACGTTTGACCCAGGGCACAATAGGAGGCTTAAATGTGAAATAAAGTGCCATGACTAAGCCATAAAGTAAAGAGAAGGGCCAAAACCAATAATCATTGCACTCACGTGAAGGTCTGCAGTTTGAAGAATAAAGAGTCTCCGAGTAAGCTTCACTGCACTGTCCACACAATTTACCAGACCGGTTACCTTGGCAACCATTAAATTTCGGAAAGTCAGTTTTGTTGGGAGGACTACAATAACCAACAGGACACATGGTAAACTTAAGCTTTGGGGGAGTAACCTGTTCCTGAAAACCCCAAAAGTTTGGTTTGGCGATTATATTTTCAGAACAGTTTGCTCCAAACGGGCATGGAAGACACTGAAATCCGGGTATAACAATCGGTACCACATGAGATCCAACAGCTCGACCACGCTGTAGACTGTAGAAGTTTCCTTCGCAGGTGGAACAGCAAACTTCTAGGGTAGTGACTTTAATTTTACAAGGTTTTTTGTTCACTCGAAGAGTGACTTGATCAGTATAATTAATGATATTGATCTGACTTCCATTAGGGCAATTGAATATTGTCAAATTATTGTTTCCAAGATCTATCAGTCGACCGTTTCTTACAAGGAGAAGAAAATCCGTTTCGTATGGATGGGAATCCATTGTCGTGTTGTACAGTTTAAGCGCTCCTGAACTTTTTGAATGTATAAAAGTTGCCTTAGTGCCTTGATTAGGAAGTTGCCGCAACACCTTCTGCCGGAAAATACAGTTTTGTATATCAATACTTGATGAACCGTCTCCTGTGTAAATATGCCCACCTTGAAATGTTGCCACATTGTCAATGAAGGAACAGTTACGAAATGATTCGTACCCGTTCAGCGTGTAGAGAGCTCCACCAACTGCCCCCGCATTTCTAACGAATACTGAATTTTCGAAAGTTATGTTACTTTTGTACGCCCATGAGGGGAATTCATAAGAATCAACAGATCTTCTTTCCCTGGATGTCTCTTGTTCGATAATACACCCTGGATTTATTTGGGTATCAGGTGCAAATGAAAGGTACAAGGCGCCTCCAAAAGTAATATAGTCATTAGAGAGCACAAAATTATCCACAAATCGAGAATTCTTGACTTCCACCAATGCATTTCCTTCAGCAAAAATGTATAAAGCTCCGCCCTGAGCGGCGGAGCAATTGCTGAATGTTGTATTGAGTATTATAATAGATATAGAACTTGTGTCACTAAGGCTATATACAGCGCCTCCAAAACCTAGCGTTCCCGAAGTAGCGTCAGAGATGTAATTACTATCAAAAGTTGAATCCTGTACTATAATTAAGTTTAAGCTGAGCAATGAAAGCGTTGCACCCCAGCCAACGCCAACATTCTTTAAAAATCGAGACCGTTGGATTGTAAGTGTACAATTGTGTCCGATTAAGACTGCCCCGCCCAAAGAACCTGCAAATGCTGTATTCGATTCCATAATCACATCTTCAAAGGTGACAATGCTTTTAGCGCTTACCATTATGTTAATAGCAAACGTGATACTGTTGCCAAGAAATATCGAGTGTTGTATTAAAATGTGGCTGATGCTACCTCTCCCATTGTTGACTTTGCACCAAATGTTCAGAGCGCCACCATAATTAGAAATAAAATGGGTTTCGTTGATAATGATCTTATTTTTGGTTTCAGTTAAGATGGAGAGCGATCCACCAATCTCTGAGTGAACTGATTTACATCCCTTAAAAAGAGAGTTCAGTACCATCAATAATATACAATTGCTTGATGTTCTTTGTGGTGACGTAAAAGTCGTATTTATTAAAATTCCACCTCCTCCAAAACTTACAGTATCACTATGGCAGTCGATAAACTTTGATTGGCTAAGTCGCACTGAGGTCTTTAAAACGTGGATATTTACAGCTCCTCCTCCAGAAAAACTGTAAGCGTTGATAAAATCACATTCCCTGATATTGATTTGAGGGAGGTGTTCAGTACTTTGGCCATTGTAATGAAATTTGGTACTGTTTCTTTTAGAGCAATAAGATTCATTAGAGCGCACATTTGGTGAGTAAATATACAGCGCTCCTCCCGATCCATTCTTTGCTGAGTTATCTTTGAAACTGTTTCCCTCAAAGCTCACTATATTTATGTTTGAACATGCAATGTCCATTGCTCCACCTCGCGCAGCAGTCGTGTCAACAAAAGATGAATTAGACACGGTCACTTTGCAAAGATCATTTCCCTTTAGGGATACCACTCCTCCATTTCCATTTACTCTCTGGCCGCAAAAACTCGAATTATAGATGGCTAATGTAATATTTGATGCACTAAGATCAAATGAACGAGCGCGCTGACTTTCAAAGTTGCTTGAATTGATAAAAATATTTAAGTCGGTGCCTCGAAAGATGCATTCACTGTAGGGGTCGTCCATTGTTACTTTTCGGGTTGACAATGGACTATTGTGGATAAATCTTACGTTCTGAAAGAAAATGTTTGAATTGCTATTATCCATCTCTATGATAACAATTCCTTTTGAATTAAACTTGTTGCGAGAAAAAGTGACATTCTCCAGTGTGATATTACAGCCTAAAGACTGCGCATTGTGAGCTGATCCACTGACCGAGATACAACTTCCCTTCAAATCTGCCAAGACGTTGTCGTCAAAAGACGATTCTACCAGCTTCAACATTACTTGCGTGTTTTGAGATGAAATCCTTGTTTTGCCGAAAACCACAGAGATACAGCCACTGCTTCCTGAAAAGATAGAATTTACAACTTGAATGCTTAAAACATCCCTTGTTCGAAGGAGTATTTCCATCGATTTGCTGCCTAAGAATTTACAGGCATTGATATTCATAGACGAATCTTGAATAATAACACGACTTTGTTTGAAAAGTAGTCTAAAAAAAGTTACATTCATTTTCTCTGCAATCTCGGTAGAACCATTTATTCTAATGTCTGTTTCAGTGCATTTTATCTGGGGAATGGGATCAGTAGAACCAATCAGAGACACACTCTTATTGATGTAAATTCCCGGATGTTGTGACTTTCCTGATTGACAGGTGTAAGGGTCTTCGTCAGTGTTGTTGCCGTCAATGTGAATTTCGTCCCCTCGTGACGCCAACGTGACAGCTCGCTCAATCGTTTGGCAAGGTGTCCATTGATCACATGATTGGGTGTCATTTCCAGAACGAGAGACGTACAA